GGGCTGGCCTTCTTCTGCATCATTTGCCGTCTCAAGTGCACAATATATCGTTTTGTTCTTTTCCTTTTTGATTTGAGTCACAAGTACTCTTTGGATGTAGTCCTCATTGATCAAAAAAGCAGAAGATACTGAGGCTGATACTGCTGAACAAAGTGCAATCAAGTTGCGCACACACCAGCAGACCTCTAATGCTCTAGTAGTAACAGACCAGCGCCCTGCTAATGGTAGTCCACCAGTCAATCACCTTGGTTTAGTAAAGGTTCCAAGCATGACCAACGTGGTAAGATGTTTCCAGCGCCATTATGCTGAACTTAAAATTGAGGATTAATTGCTTATTCTGTGAATATAAGACCGTAATTAACATTTACTGCATGGTCAGGATCGTAACTCAGCAGATCAAGGGGAGATTGAGCCGAATGGAACTTTGACCGTTGTGGATCCTCAACCTCCTTCAGCACCTTCACCTGATGTCCTGGGAGATCTTTTAGGTCCACTAGCTATTGAAGGCCATCAACCTGCTGCTACCCAACCTGTCCATAATTTGGGCTCTGGTGTTGGCGTTGCTCCAAATGCAGAGGATGCGCTAGCACTTGCACCTGTTGAAGAACAGACTGCAACAGTCCAGGTATTGCTTAGTCCAACTTGGTGAATATGATTTACCTTCTGGCTTTCATGTAATGACTTCTAATGTTCTGAAAGAAAGATGGTTCCCCTCTCCTTCTGTTTGGGGTTCCCATGGTCATTTTACTAAATTTAAAATAAGCTCTAAATAGGGGCATTTATGCCATGACCACAAACATATGTTACTGGCCAGTGTAAGTTCTTTTAACTGATTCCAGCTAAAGTCTGATGTGATCACATTTCCAAAATCAGAGAGCTTGTTTTCCATTTATAATTTATTATGATTCCTCTGATCTTCTCTAGTTTCATGCTTCTGACCATCTTGTTTTACAATTCATGGTTGTAGCCAATAGGAAATATTGCAGAAAGGTTTCTTGCCTTGTGCCTCAAAGACAGCGGTATACTGTATGAGGATCCTTATATTCAGGTACTTACTTTTTTCTTGTTTGCTATTACTGTCACTGGTGGACCTTTTGGCGCTTAGTTTAGTTTGTTGGCACAATTTCAGATTGGCATAAAAGCAGATTGGCGGGCACATCATGGACGACTTGTCCTCTTCTTGGGAAATAAGAATACGTCTCCACTTGTTTCGGTTCAGGCTCTGATATTGCCCCCATCTCATCTGAGATCGGAACTGTCACTAGTACCCGAGACAATTCCTCCTCGTGCACAGGTTAGGTTATTATTGTGCTTTTGTTAGGAGTGGACTTCTTTCACTCTCTTGTTGTCAGTCTTCTTTCAACTTGTGATTACCTAGTGATATGAACTTCTGCAGGTTCAATGCCCTCTTGAAGTAGTCAACCTCCATCCAAGTAGGGACGTGGCCGTCCTGGACTTCTCCTATAAGTTTGGGATGCATTTGGTATGAAACATTTATTTTCTATTCGTCTATCCACAATTCGTATAAATATGTGTATTGACCTTGTTGAGCATTTACAGGTCAATGTTAAACTTCGACTTCCTGCCATCTTGAATAAGTTTTTTCAGCCTATATCAATATCTGCGGAAGAGTTTTTTCCACAGTGGAGATCACTATCTGGGCCTCCACTGAAGCTCCAAGAAGTGGTATTTCATTTTATGTTCTTGCTCGACTTTGGGACTAGCATACCTATCTAACTGTGTGTAAGAATTAAGAACGTTAATAGTAAAATCCTGGACTTCTTTCCATCTTGTATATGTATACGTATCCTACATTGTGATCTCAACCTAAGTTGCGCGGACTCTTCGATTTTGGTGCCGTCCCCGTCCCGACAGGGACGGGAGCGGGATACGTCCCGGATTCGATCAACAGACTTCGGACACTTTGACCGGAGTCCATCGACAAATTTGGTAGAAAATTTGAGATTTTGATTTCTCAAAATAAAAAATAAAATAAATTTAGGAGAATGAAAGAATAATGTCCATCTTGGAGAATGAAAGATTGAATTTTACAATATTCATGTATTTTTTTATTTTTTTTTGATAAGGACAATATTCATGTAAGTTTTTCACAGAATATCTCTCAAAATTTACAATATTTTATAGCTCTATTTTTTATTAGCCGAATCCCCGCACCCGTATCCATATCCCGATCCACAACCCTGAATTTTAAAATTTAGATTTTGCCGAATCCGATACTCGGATCCGTCCGCGTATTGGATACCCGCACCCGAGTCCGAGCAACTTAGATCCCAACTACTATCTCAAACTTATTTGGCTACCATGCTCAGGTTAGAGGTGTAAGACCAATGTCGCTTCCAGAAATGGCGAACTCGTTGAACAGTTTACGGTTAATGGTTTGTCCAGGGCTTGTAAGTTTTTATCTTTTAGCTTTCTTCTAGTATGGCTCCGTCCATGTTGGATTTTGGGCTTCATAACTATTAAGTTTCACTTTCTGATTTCTTATTCAGGATCCAAATGCAAATAATTTGGTTGCTAGCACAACTTTCTACTCCGAGAGTACACGAGCCATGTTGTGTTTGGTAAGCTAGTAGTCTTATGGTTTAGTGCCTTATTGATTTAATAGAATGTCCTGAATGGAAAATTGATTTAATTAAATATCGTTACGTGTATGGTTTCAACATAACCATTCATTGCTAATTTGGTATATTTTTGTGTCATTAAGTGAGAGAAATAATACAACTGTGGTATGCTGAGAATATAGCAGAAGAGGAATTGTACCTCACTCTATTTCATTTTTCATTATCTTTGTTCAAATGTTTTCTTTAGTTCTTTTTTAGGTGGGAGGTTGAATCTGAATTTGTAACTTTGACTGATTTAAAGCTGTTGTCTTACAAATATTTACACTAGCCTGTTCTCATTTCCTTCTGATAGAGGTGGAAATTATTGTACCTTCCAAGGATTTCAGCATTAGTAATGTATCATTTAGTTGAAACTACTAAACTGTGCAACTATTATCTAACATCTGTGGTTGAATTATACAGGTAAGAATAGAAACAGATCCAGCTGATAGAACTCAACTGCGTATGACTGTTGCTTCTGGAGATCCTACTCTGACATTCGAGTACGACTGAAATCTGATATGTAATGTGACTTTTGGTGTTCATTACCAACTTATAGTTAACTTTTGAACTTCCTTCACACTATGCAGGTTGAAGGAGTTCATTAAGGAACAATTGGTTATTGTCCCTACAAAGCCCACTGCTGCTGGACCACCATTGCCTCCCCAAACTCAGCCAACCCCTATACCTCCCGCAGAGTCAGATCCTGGGGCACTGCTTGCTGGTTTGCTTTAAGTCGTTTTAATTTGAGGACGAATTTGTCCAGGAACGACAGCTGTAAAATTTGTTTATATTGCACACCGACACGTCCAAAAGTCAAGATGGACATTGAAAAGCAGGATGCCAGGATGCCAGAGCTGGCGGAAGAGAGGGTGAGACTTCTGATTGGCATAGCACATCATTCGTTTTCTGGGACGTTGAGTCAGTTTTGAGATTCTTTTGCACAAATATCTTGTGCTTTCATGAGGTCTACAGTTTTTAGGGTCTTATTAGTTCTTTTCCTTCTTTCCCTCAAATTTTATATTTGCTTTTAGTCAGGCTTTACACAATTGGTTCTGTAGTATCAGTAGCACAGGGTGATTGTAAGTGTTGCATTGGTTTGTTCCTCCCTATGTATTTTAGTGTATTACGATTTTAATGAGAAAAAAGAAGAAATTGATCGTTGATTGAACTTCTTGCCATGATGTGTTGAAGATGTATTAAAAGTTTTTTACATGATAACTCAACTATCTAAATGAGCAGCCGAAACACTCTTCATTTATAGCAGCATACAATATATTCATACAGGGTTCTTTTTTTCATTTCAAGATATTGCCTGTCTTGAGCTGTGAAAGAAATTAATTAATTTTAGGTTTGCGCTATCAGTTTTTTAACATCGTCGCTTGGGTTAAACCACGCAGTATTTTCATTTTGTTTGGTCCAGATTATGAATGAAAGTGCATGGTAAAATATCCAATATATGGAAGTGGATAGTGACACCTGAATTTCATTTTCAAACGTATGCATGAGTGCCTTTTCGAATTTCAACAATGTCTTTAGCTTGGTGAAAGAAATACTAAAATCCTCACAAGTTGAACTTTCCTGTATGCGATGAGTGTCGAAATAGGTACATCATCTTAGAAGTCCTCTAACGAAGTTGCGAAGATTGTCGAAAGATAGTATGGTTGTCATCTTGAATTATGTGACGCAAATTAGCCATAACCGGATAAATGATCTTCTTGTTAGCCACAGAAGTTTCTTACTTAGTTCTAGAGGTAGCACTAGGGGTGGCAAACAGGCGGGTCGGGTTGAATATGACAGATTTATAACGGATAATGCAACAACGAATAAATTATCCGATCGGACCCATATCTAATATGGATAGAAAATGAGTTAACCGGCAGATAATATGAATATCCATGGCTTCTTGAATATGATCACTTTTGGAAGAACTTCTCGTCTTCCAAACTCGAGGAACTTCCAATTTGAGTCTTTGCAAATATAAAAGTTAAATCCATTGGTTATCCATTTTTAAGTGGATAATACGGATCTTATCCATATTTAACCTACTTTTTAAAAAGTTTATTATTCAACCCATTTTTTAGTGGATAATATGAATGAATAATTATTTTTAAAATCCATTTTGCCATCTACAGGTAGCACTGAGCCATGGTATGAATGACATTTCAGTAGTTTCTCTCAGGAAAAATAAATTGATAAGGTCTCCAGCTATGCAGCAAGCAAAAGATGCCACAACGTAATACTAGCTGATGTTCTCATTATATCCAGGAGCAGTTTCAAGATTTTAGCAATGCAATTGTATTTACTATTCAAGGCAAAGTTAATATAATCACACAGGAATGCTCGCAACAGGTGGGAGGAGAGATCATCACCTGGTCATTTGACTGGTAAACTTTAGTTCTTCCAGTGACATTTCACTAAGCGGATAGTTGTTGAAGGCTAAAAAATTAGGGAAAAGAATTGGTAATTTTGGTATTTTTTTAAGTAAAAAATGAGATAAGCATCAACAAAAAAGGTTGCTTATCGGTCAAGGTTGGAGCAAATGTCACAACCTCTCCTAGTAATCTTTTCTAAAGGTATTTGTGCATAATTAGTTTTCCTGAATCAGCTCAACTACTCCTTTATCACGAGAAAATCATTTCCTTTTGATGGCAAAAGCGGTGATACCAAATGATGGAAACTTGATCAGAATTGTAGGAGACTAAGTTACTTGGGCAGACATCACGAGTGGCTTGCTCATTTTGATTCATTCTCCAATTGTGACAGCATCAACGGCAAGCCCCTTCAATCAGCCATTATGCATGCGAAAGATGCACCTTACACAGATGATTAAGCATCAACTATCTCCATTCCCTACAGTTGCCACACTTCCAACCATCTTCTCCAGACTCCTCTTCATTCCAAGGTGAACAATGTCTGTGGATCCACATTTCACATGTATCACAACAAAGATCAGGGCATGGTTTTGCATGTGAACACATCTTACAAGGAACTGCAATAGCAGCAGATATTGTGCTAATTGCAGGCTCATGCTTGACATAAGACGTATCAGCATTCTTATCAGGTAGAAACCTTGATGATGTTTTGACATTCTTGGTCAAAGTAGCTGATGAGTCATCTCTGACTGGCTGTTTTCTTGGCCCCGGCAGAGACAAAGTTGCAGCACTTTTTTCACAACCACCCCCTGGAGAGTGCTCAGTGAATTCTTCAACAGAAACAAGAGGATTATTATCCTCTAAAGATGTGGTTCCCTGCAAGGGCACCACAGGACTGGTCATCTCTTCATCTTTCTGTAGCTCTGAGATGAAACAAAAATTAGGCTCCATTCCTTGGCTATCCTTCTTTGAAGCCCTTGAGCGAATCCTCTTCTCCTCTAACTGCCTTTTGCTTTTCGGATCTAAGTAAGGACATATTGGTATTCTAGCCCTACGGCACCTGCAACATTTAAACCCCACAACTTCAAAAATCTTGGACTCCTCAATATCTACAGCTTCAGCATGGTACCAATCTGCAACTCAAAAAATTAATTCTCAAAACCCAAAGAAAGGTAACCAACAAATTCAAGACAAAATACAACAAGAGGTCCTGCATAGAAACAAAACTTACGTGTGCACGTTTCACAACGGATGTACATTAGAAAAGGATCATATGGCTTATGGCAAAGGTAGCAACTAGGTCTTAACAAATCCATGTCTGGATTGCCCTTCAGAAGAATGTGTTTAAATCTAAAATCACTTCCAGTATTGTTGTTCTTCTTTCTCCAAATAACACCCCAATGGGGTTTCGTTTTTGTTGCCAAATTTGAAGAACTAGAATTTTTCATCTTAGAAGTCGCACAGGATGCTGATGGATTACTACAACTACCAACCTTTCCTCCTTTTCTGGCTGACATGTGAATCCCGAAATCTTGTCCACGCATGAGTAAAGGACTTGAAGGAGATTCTTTGCTACTTTCATCTTGGGTTAAAGTTCTATTCTTGTAACACTGTTTGCAGTTGGTCATAAACTCAACGTCCTCATTAGCAACATTTGTTGAACTAATTGTACATTGCTTGTGACATAGACCTGTAAGAAAAATTCCCGAAAGTTCAATAGATCAATCGCTGATGCGCAGACTGATCAGCAAGCTCAAATAACAATCTTTTATATATATATATATCGTGGTACCTTGGCATGTATTGCACTTGACTGCGTTCCTGGTAGAGGGAGATCACGTCAACAAAGGATTGTGTAAAGAGATGAAAAAGAATTTCAAAATATACATTAAATGGTACCTAAATAACACATCCACTTGACATGAAGCACAACAATGTTTCTCGTTACCATCTCTCTTCTGCACAAGATATGAGAATATATTTTTATGAGAAGCCACCAAGGACCTTTTCTGCAACTTGGGAAGTCCATTAGTGAACTTGTTGGCTGAAAGGAGATCTTTTCCCAAGTTTTCTTCATAATCTTTTATTAGATACAAAGGAATTCGTGACTCAGAAAACCAATATTTTTCCTTTCCCTCCTGGCTTTGCTCTACTTCTAACATACTCTTCATGACACGAGATGGGAGATGCTTCTGATTCCCAAAAGCTACATTATATCTAACCTCATTTCCAACAATTCTTTTATGACGTATGGAAGCATTTCTAAAAGCAGATATTTCTGTCTCAGGTCCTTTTCCATCCTGGAGGCTCGTTTCAGGACGAGCAAGATCATCCCACCTCACATGCATATCTAGGTACCTAACCTGTTGCAAGATCGAACTTTAGAAAAAATACAAATCCTCATCCCCACTGAAAAGTTTGCTGTAGAAAGAAAGGAATTAAATCATCCATCACAATATGTCATAAATCACCTGAAGTGCAAGCTGTGACATTGTCTTACACACATCAACTGCAGCTCGCCAGATCAGCTGCCTACTTCTTTTGGCAGTCTCGGACCCTTCAGCATAATGAATACCAGGTATCTTTCTCAGACCACCTGCTACATTGAAAGTTGTTAGTGGACTCTCTCTGCGTCCTTTATTCCAATGAATTTATTTCAACGCAAAAAGAATCAAAATGTTCTAAGGAGAAAAGTAGCTCATTGGATACGCAAGTACCATGACGTGCTGCTTTCTTCAACATTGATTGGGGTAAAGTCGCTTTCTGGAAGATAAGCTTTGAGAGCATGCCTCCTCTCCACCAAGTGAAGTCCATCAGTTTATCCGGGCAATCAGCAGCAGTTACTTTAACCATTGACAATGGTTTCCTACCCCGCCTCCCTGGTTTAAGCTTGTGAGTTGATTCTGCAGCACCAGCAGCTGAATGACTGATGGAAGATTCAGATGCCCCACCATCAACAAGCTTAAGCCAGTCCCCCCAAAAAGCAACAAACCGGATATTCTCCTCAAACTGCAATGCATAGAATCTGTTCTTGAGCATGAAGAACATATTATCTATAGGTAAGATCATACGTATACATACTAGCTATAATTTACAATTGGATCCAATAGAGGTTTGCCAAATGGAAGGGTTTGTAGTATGCTATCTGACTTTCAATCCAATATCACACATGCAACACTGGAGAATCAGTAATGCACTCTGACAGTTTAAAAGTTGGAGGACTTATTAAAATATTCAGAAGTAGGAGAAGGCTTTTTATTTGAATGCAAATTTACCACAAGCAGCAAATTTGCTGCCGATCACTTGGAAATTCCACTAGTTTATAAATAACAAGCATTCAGTTTTTTGGGGATCAAGCAAAATAGTAATAACAAGCATTCAGTTCTTATCACCATAAATTTGTAAACTATCAAATCAAGAGTGCAACTTAAGCAAATTGGATTTTGCAACCTTGTATTTATGCCAGATTCAAAATTCAAGTTCAGTTTGATGAGCCCCTAGTGTGATCAATGCACAAGGCTCAAATCATTACCGCACTTGCAGCAGAAAGAGTATCTCCCAATAAATAACTGTAAAGTTGAGACAACAACTACATGTGCAAATAATGTGGATGTACCTCTGAATTCACTGCTGCTGTCAAATGGTAACTTTTCTTCCCATTTATTTCACATGCAATTCTCATTATTTAACTGCTATTACGTTGTCTTAAAAACAAATCGTAGAATAAACATCGCTTTCTTGAGCAATAACAATAGTTTACTAGATTTGCCTGTACTATTAAATGGCAATTGTTTATTATCCATGCTAATGTTGTATGATCTTCAAAACCACTAGAATGTCTAATACTAGTAGTTTACACTCCATTAAAGTAATAAAGTTTAACTGAGGTGAAAAGAAGAGGAAAGAGGAGAGAAGTAAGAGAAGAGGGGATAACAGCTGTTCCCCTTGTTTTTATGGAAGCAGAAGGAAGTAGAACTAGATGGTCATACAGCTCTCCTCGTAAGAACTTACAGACATCTCTGGTATACCAAAAACAAGTGAAATATAAATACTGACCTCTAAGAGAACTAAACCATTTGTTCCTTCTTTTAGCCTTCACATCCCCTACCTTGAAACAAACGTAGTTTTAATCCAAACATCTTATAACCCAGGACTCGAATATTCTCAAAAAATATTACTAATGCAAACTTTAATGCTTAAAAATAATAAGCAAGGTATAACTATTACCACAGATCTAATCAACCGAGACATCGAAATTGATGGAGAAAGCATGTGGCAAACACTTGCACAAGGTGCTAACAAAATCAGCATAAATAAATTTCCATAATAACTTACTTCAAGCAGAAGAGACTTTATCACATTGAAGTTAGAAGCTTTTTCTGCCTGTTTGCGCCATTGTTTTCTAAAAGCTGTACTTAGAAAAGGACCAACTGTCAGACCAGTTAAGCTCTCCTCCATCAATACAATATATGTGGCAATACCACGTAGATTTCCCTCCGCACCACTTGCAGGATGAAGACCAGCAAGTATCTTCACTGCCCCCTTAATGGCATTTGATGCTGCAGCATTTAACAAGCATCCTTTCTTACTAGTAGCAGCAGCTTTACAACTAAGACACCAACTACATCTTTCCCTTGGTACTTCCACAACCCTCTTCTCAGTATTCGGCCAGAAAAAGCGTGTCGCTGCTGATGAGAAAGCTTTTGCTTGAAGCAAAACATTAGCAGAAAGTTTCCGCCTATTGTCTGAAGCATGACTCTGAGCACCTTGGTTTTTTTCGGATGAAAGTTCAGCTAGATTAGCAGCAGCCGATGCAGCAAAATCTCCATGCAGATAATTATTGATGTATTGTTGAGGTCTAAAGGATGACCCCATGAATAAGCAGCCACCAGTGGGTTTTCTGTAACCTATTCTGCTGGGTCTGCCACAAGCCTTTTCACATGCAAGAGACACTGAAATTCCAGCACAATTACTATTAGCTTTTTCCACAGAGTTGCTGCTGCTTCTTGAGGTACAAGGAGCAATTTCTACCAACTTTATGTCGCCTTGTTGAGTCCACTCAGATGGAATCACCTGCTGACCAACTGAACCAGCAGAAGTTATGTATTCCACTCCAACTTTTTCAGATGGTAGCAAGTCTATATGTGTGTTACTCTGGCTTGCCATAGAATCACTATTCACCTGGTTACAAATACCATCAGGTTGGATAACTGCACCAAAAGTCTCATTGAGCTTAGGTTCCTTTGAGAAATTACTCATAGTAGCATCTTCTGAACCAAATTCAGTGACACAGCTTCCAGTAGTCTCTCTCTCGGGACTTCCCTTAACCAACAAATTAGGAGAGAGTGTAGAGGAACTACCACATTTTGTTCCATTTGGTCTTTCTGAACCCATTTCAGATAGTTCACCATTAGGGAATGGGATGTTGACAGGAATTTTCCAGTATCGCATAATTCCTTTGCATATTTCTAGATATAAAGTACTGTGCTGCAGATTTTCATTAAGTGCTCGCAGGACTCTGGGAATGTCCTTCTCGTTGTAGTATTTGAAAATAGAATCTGCCCCAGCCAAGGCCTTCAACCTACAATACAAAAAAAAAAGTGTTTTATAAAGAGACGGTCTAAAGCTGATTCAGCCTAAACTACATAGGATTAAGTGCATTTCGTATCTCCAAATAGAAAATCAGCCCACAGCCAAGTAAGGCAACTGAGCAGAGTAGGTTGGAAAGGAAGTTAAGGGACATACACAAGCAAATGACTGCAAGTACCCATGAAGACTTGTCCATAGGAATCAACACCAAAAAGCTCTGCTCCTTTCAGAGTTTTGCCCCTCATAATTTTTGGTTCGATTTCATTGATGCTACACTCAGGGCAATACCATGTTCCTTCTGGTATATACATCCTGCTAACTCCAATGCACCTAGCATGGTAAGATGATGGACACCCATCACAGCAAAGCAAAGTCCCCTCCATGCCGCAGAGACTGCATTCATCACTGTTACTGTGTTGATCTACATCAGACACAGAATCTTGTCCACTAATTTTGGATCCTAAAATATCAGTACCACAACACTTGTTTCTTTCATGATTTTCTTCACAAAGCTCGATTGCTTCTTGATCCTTACAGCCAGAAGTTTTAGCATATCTGGGATGAACTATTCTTGGTGCACTGACAAGAGCAACACCGGTACTTATATCTGCCTCAGTACCTTCCTCTGATTCTTCACGCATGTCAACTTCTGCTCTTAGTTCTTCAGAATCTAGAACATCATCACACAAGATCTGCAAAATCATGAGTTTCCTGCCAGCAGATAACAAGTAATATTCCCTCTGCAAAGCATGAGGATAAAAACCTTTCCAAGCAGGTTCATCTGCGTATCCCATTACTCTTAAATAGTGAACTAGATAAACTGGCCAAGTTATTGTATCAAGCAAGCTCCAATCGATGTTCCTAACAGCAAGCAGCATAAGTTAAATTCAGACCTTTCATCAGTGAGTGTCCAAAAATGCACCTAATATGAAATAATCGAAGAAGTATAAGCCTAAATATGCAATGCAAAGTGAAGTGCCCGATGGCCTGACTATTGCTCATTCAAAAAAAAAAGGAAAAAAAACATATCAGCAATGTATTTCAATAAGGATGACATAGGGCAGTCAAAATAAAATAACATTACAAAAAGGTAACATTGGCTACTGCTTATAAAGATGCATGGTTATTGTGGAAATTATTCATCCATATTCTAAAGAAGAGCAATGCCATGTATGGATCTAATCTTTTAGCATGGGCCACAAGAAAATCAAGCATTCCAATGTCTTTAGGTGGGCAGCAGCACCAGAATCGGATGAACCTGTCCAAGTGCGTGCAGACTAAGTAATAATGACACTTTATTCTGTCATAAATGGCAATAGGTAAATTGGGATCACCAATTTGATAACTCTGCTATCTATCTAACTTTTAGCTTCTTTTCACAAACAGAGCTCGAGACATTATTCTAGCTTGATACATTTTTGTGGAAGGCTGGTAGCAGCACTTACATCTCGAGTGAAACAATATCAAAACATAATTTTTACAACAAACAGCAGTGACTTAATCAACTAGATGAAGACGGTTCCTTCTGAAATAATTGGATATGTGTACCTTAGGCACTTTGATGCAAGCACGGAACAATCGGATGACAGCTTTCTGAGGTGGCGCCTCAAAGCACGCATAAGGGCTACATGAACAGAGTCCAACAATGTGTTTGGAGCAGAACAGTTGAGTGCTTCGACAAAATCATCAAGTCCAAAGGGACATAAAAATAATCTGATACTAAACGAACGTAAAAAGCTATAGACAGACAAAAGGTACGATACATACTCCTCCGGAATACCAATACTTTCAGATGAAGGAGGCAGTTGAGGTGCAGGAAATAGAGGCACTTCCACATCTGGACACAAATCCTGCTCCCTATAATCTTCAGACATATCACTCGCTGAATTAGAATCACAACCTAGTTGGTTGACCTCAACTTTATCCAAATCTTTTAAAACTGGCGCCTCAAACTTATCAATTACATCGTTAACTGGCTCAGCTGGATGCTCAGCTCGAGAATTAATACCCTTTACCTCCCTATTAGCTACTAAATCGTCTAGCTTTTTCTTCCTGTCCAACCATTGACCATTCAAGTCATCGTCTTCCAACAAAACTGCTTTCACTTCAGTGCTATCGAAATCTTCGCAATCTCCATCCTCATAAAAAACCTTATACAAACCAGTATCATAAAATATAATCTTGCCCAAGTATATCCCATTGTCCTTGAACTCCTTCCTAACATATCTACCCAACAATGCCTTAGACGTCAATGCCACCACCCATTTCTTCCCATCCCGATCCACCTGAACATTGTGAACATCGTTTCTACGCCTTTTTCTACCACGCCTCTTTGATCTGTCCACAGCAGCATCCATTCCACCAAACCAACTCACAATCCGATCCAAATCACACCATAGACCAATTTATTTCGTTTTAAATACACATAAAACAACCAGTTATCACCACAATAATGATAGCCTTGTAGCTTTACCGATTTGAATCTCACCTAATTCACATATTCAATGCATATGTTAGGGCATTGTTATCAGATCGCAGTAACTTAAAAAAAAAGGAATCAGCAGAATATGAAGCATTCAATCTGTACACTGTCGATATTAAGTTTTTAACTCAGCTTAAGTTACAGGGAGGAATATGTTCATACGCGAGTATCCGTACACACCTATATTGATTTATAAATTGAGTATTCGCACACATATTACACACACACACACACACATATATATATACACATAATGTTTAGATTCAGTATACGTGTGTGTGAATTTGAATGTTTACCTTGTTAATGCAGCGCCATTGAAGGAATGATGAATGAATTAGGGATAGATTAGGGATAGAACGCTGAGAAGAGCTGTGGTGTGAAGAGGCTTAATTATGCCCTAAATCAAAATCTGCTACCCAAGTTTATAGTAATAGGGCTTTCTCCATAATATTTTGTGGGCTTTGGTAAAATGGAAACTCAGTTATGTCCGAGTTTCAAACTTGTTGACTCGGACGATTTGGCGGTGTGATAGTGTATTTGAATTTGAATTTTGCTGGAAAAATAAAGAGCAGTTGAAGTTTGAGAAATAAAGGGGGGAAGTTATAATTTCAAATTAGGCAAAATGTAAACTCGATTTCCATTTTCACTTCCATAGGTGAACATAAACAAATTCATAGTAGAAAATTACACTGCTCATATATAATTCCCTAGGATTATAAGTGCATTGTGTTCATTTTTAGTTCAATAATTTAGAAATCACAGTGAACTGATGTACCCAAAAAAAATTAAATATTTTTTTCCGACAATGCGTTTATTTATTTCTTTTTATATAATAAAAAAATTAAAATCATTTAATTAAGTTGGTCATCGAAAATAATCATTTGAGTTGCTTACAATTTAAACTATAATAAAAGTATTAAATCACTATTATACTCATTTACGTTAATTATGATGTATTATGCCACCATTTTGCTACTTATTTCCTTTCCAAAAATATTAAACTTCCATCATTTTCATCAATAACCACTTTTAGACGATTACAATTGTAGAATTATGAATAAATAATCTAAAAATTTAAGCATGATTGTGTATGGGATGAACTACTAAAATATGTAAACCTACAACATCGTTAAAGAGTGCTTCATCTACATTACAATGAAAATATAATTGTATATGATGTTAAATAAGAAATGGTATTTCTTTTAGAATAGATGTCAATGAAATAGTTTTCTTTTTGTCCTAAAAATTCAAGATTCATAGTACAAATGTCAACAAATTATTTTTATTGTATAAATTCGAACATCAATTCCTCGACGTTTTAGATAAAATTAGTAGTCATAAGCACTACAAAATCATAATTTACGGTAAGAATACTTATAAGAAATATTTAAAGATTTTCAAATAAAATATAAAAATATTTTGCTCTGCAAATAATAATGTATCATATAAAATGATAGTATTGCAATCGAAGTACTAGAAAAAAAAATATGTCATTTGTTTTGAGCAGATAAGTTCTACCCAGACATAAATAATTTATTTAGAAAAGAAAAATAATCCTACCAATATATATATATATATATATATATATATATATAAAATAAAGGACAATATTTTTTCCTAAGGACAATGTTGATAACACCGAACTAGGTAGCAGCAAGAAAGAAAAAACATAGAGAGAGCATTGTAGAGTGCTGAGTTGACTCGGGAACTCAACTCACTAAATTTCTCTTTTTTAGATAATCTTTTACTTTTTGGACGCATGTTTTCCTAATGACACGGACAAATGACGGAATATGAAGAAGAATTGGCGGCAGCGGAAAAAAAAGAGGAAAAGAAAAAGTATTGACGGGAAAGATTCAGTGATTTTGCGTTAGCCGCCAAAACTAACTTCGCATTCAAATAAGAGCCCATTTGGACATACAAAATTTTTTTTTTTTCTAAAAAATATTTTATTTTTTTTCGAATTCAGCGTTTGTTCATACAATTTAAAATCTTCGCTTGAAAATGCATTTTAAAATTTTCAAAAATTTAAAAAACTCCAAAAAACTGTTTTTCAAAATTTTCACTCAAATCACTCACAAAACTTCAAAAAATAATCCAAACTGAAATTTATGTCCAAATACAACTCTAAATTTCAAATACAATTTTCACTTTCAAATACCATTTTCACTTTTTTCACCATTTCTTAAAATTTTACAACTCTTATGTCCAAACGGCTACTAAGTGTTGCGGAGAGCCAGAAACCAACTTTTGCTTTTAACGGCCTAGTGCTCCAAGGAAGAGAAAGAAGAACACATAAACAAAGAACTGAAGAAGAAGAAAAAAGGGTCAAATGCTCCCGATGTCTAATTGGATTTCGCAAGCTAATATATGTTTTAAAGGCAAATGTGAAACAGCTAACAATGATTAATGATAGCACTATCTTTTTATTTTAAATTTATGTGAGTTTATTTTCTTTTTAGTTTGTTTTAAAAATAACTTTGTTTTAAATTCAAAATTATTTTAATTTAAACTTTCAAATTTATCTGTAGTGAGAAACATTTATAGTTATACAAATATTATGATATGCTTAAGACTGCAAATTTTAAAAAATTTATAATCACATAAATGTTATGATATGTAAACCCAAGGACCAAAAATCTTTTTTTTTTTGAAATATGTGTCCATCAAATAGATTCACTTAAATTGAAAAGGATAGACTATAGAGTAACATTTTGTTGAGTTGCCTAATTCAGGGAATATTATGTTGATCATCCCTATAATATCCCTTCCTTTTCTATAAACTCCTTGTATTTCTAAAACAAACACTTAATGGGCGTTTAGACATAAGAATTGTGAAAACTCGAAAAAAATATTTTTTCTTCAAGTTGAAAATTAGAGTTGTGATTGGACATGAATATAAATTGGAGTTATTTTTGAATTTTTTTGAGTGATTTGAAGTGAAAATTTTAAAAACGTCTTTTAAGAATTTTTAAAATTTCGAAAAGTTCTGGAATTCATCTTCAAGTGAATTTTTGATTTTTGGGCAAACACTGATTCCAAAAAAAATAAAAAAATAAAAAAATAAAAAGAAAAAAAATGATAATTTTGTATGGCCAAACGGGTCCTTAAAATCCACCTTAGAATGGAGTAGTTAACATCAGTTGTTTACCCTCAAATTCGGATAACAATTAAACTTATATTGTGGGTTTAAGGATATGTGATTTCGTCCAATGTTGATTGATAAGCAAGAAAATAAATGAATAAATTAGAGAATAAAATAAATCAAACCAGTATGCTAGCCAGGTCTCGACCTCGATTCGAGATAGTCTCGAGGTGGAATAGTAAGAACAATAAATGATAAAGCAACTCTGATGAATAGTAAGTGAAATAACAGGAAAGTAACGAGTGTATATATTTTTCTTAGTGAACAATGATGATTACAAATAAATGAGATCCCTCTTTATATAGTAGAGGAGTCCTAAATAAGGCACACTTCTAATTATAGTAGGAAACCATATTAACATCTGATTAGCCGCCGTGGATTGATTCGTTCCGAGATTCACGCCACGATCCTCGACCAATCGCAGATATCTCGCCTTTTCCATTATCAAGCTATACCGATGCCACTCGGAGTCTGTCTCTTTCTGGCTGCGATTGACGTCGGCTTAGGTCCAAAAAGAGGCTTCGGTTCCGAACTCAACGTTCTAGCTCCTTGATGCGACATTCCCATTTCGAGCAAAAGATAAAACCGGGTAGCCTCAATTTCTACCGTATACAGATAATCTCTTTGTTTCTTAGAGTAAAATGATCAGAAAGGACTTGAACCTCGATTTTCTAGAGACCCCGATAATGATGTCATCCATGTTACGTAAGTGATTGAGGTGACCGAAATGTAGGGGTGCGCATTCGATTTATCGATTCGATTTTGACCCTTATCGAGAATTACTTATCTATTATCGATTTGTACATATGTTTATCGTTATCGTTTCAATAAGGTTTCGATTTTTTCGATTTTGATTTATCGATTTTTGGGGCTTATCGATTCGGTTATCGATTACACCAATAAGAAAATTTGCGGGATTCAAGGGAAAGTATATCGCTATGATGACTACAGAAGAATACACAAATAAAGAAAAATACTCGTTTCTACATCAAAGAAAAAAGGGTACCTGACTAAACTTGCATCATGAAATTATTCCTCACCTAAATATACATAGCAAACAAAACAAAAGTCAAGATTATCGATTTTCTTGTAACATAATCGATAGTACGGAAGGACCCAATTAGACAACCGCAATCACGAGACTGCTAAGATTTGAACTGGAATCTCATACTGCTATGTTAATTTTGGCTTCTTAATATCTCTATAAAGGCAGATTATATGTCTCAGATGACGATGAACTATCTTGTTCCTCCAGAGTATTTCTGAACTTTAAAGTGTGCATACATTTTAAAACTATAACCAAGTTCTCAGATAGTTAGCACTTAGCACATGCAAATTTGGAGCTTACCCAACACAAAGTGTACCATCAGTAATACTAGCCATATTCATATGGGACAGAAGTATCCAACGTAAGACAAAATTAAAAGCTAGCTACCACCGTTGTTTTCCAACTTTTATAGTAGTAATACAAAAACATATAGGAGTATAACAACAACTCATTTTCCAGAAAAATAGAAACGTTATTGAGAACAAGTTCTCTACATTGATGGAGTCCATAAGATGGAGAAAACCGAGTCTGAAACCAATTCAAACTAAGGCAAAATTAGCCATGGAAGCAGCTGAAGAAGAGCCATTGAGTCCATCTGCAAATGGGCAGCAAATCAAGAATCAACCCTCAAGTTATTAAAGAGAAAAATATTAAAAACTTTGTAATACATCACATTCTTTTACAAGTATATTATTTAAAATGGAGAACTTACATAGAAGCTAACAAACTCTAGCAAACATCGTCGGTGGAAGCTTCTTTGCCAAGATTAGTAAAATCTAATAAGAATATATATTAACAAGTCAAGCAATTAATATATTATTTAACTATCTTAAATAATACAATAATATTAATTAAAATATACATACCTTCCTCGAGTGTCTCGAGAAAATCTAGATCTTCCTCAACATTTATAGGAAGCGATTCACTCCGAAGCCAATCTTGAAGGCACACTAGAGTTTCAACCAATTTAGGAGTTAATGAACTCCTAAATTGGTCAAGAATACGTCATCCGGTACTAAATGCACTTTTAAATGCCACACTTTAAATAGGAATAGCAAGCACATCTCGAGCCATCTTAGCAAGAATAGGAAATCTAGGTGAGTTCACCTTCCACCAAGCCAAGATATCAAAGTCCGGTCTTTCATTTTCAGGATCTTCTGCAAGATACTTTTCCAATTCTGTTTTAGAATCTACACCTCCACTTGCAGCTTTATGTTTCCTTATTTCATCTAAATGTTCACCTAATCCAGGAATTGAAGTTTCCATTGTGCTGAATGAAGAGCTTGGCAAAGAGGTAGAAACTTTACCGCCAATATCTTTTGAAACAGACTTAGAGACATACTCATTAAACAATGAACTCATATAAGTATG